TAAATAAACAAATAAATACTTCACTAGACCTTCAGCGCCAACTGTCAAACATGTCACTGTCACCTCCCATTCCTCCCTCCCTCCCTCCCTCCCAGCCAGGGTTTGGTGGTTTTAGGCTTACAGTTTTTATCTTATATAATATCACAGACTAAAGTTAGGAGAATATAATTTGTATTGCTGGAATCCTTGCAAGACAGCGAATAATTTGAATATAAATGTCATATATATTGCACAAGAGATAAAAATTAATCACCTCTATCACATTTCAGTAGTGATTTAAGTGTTCTAGTGTATATGTACGTTTATACTGTATATATATGTAGTGATTTAAGGGCGATTTCGGGGATTTTTAGGAGTGTTTCTGACTTTATGCGTTTTTTGGCTTTACTTTGTATGTACTTTTTCTGTGATGGAAACCAATTACCCAATAACCCATTGAAATAATAGATTCTGTTTAAGAAATTTTCGGTTAACAAACGACTCCGGAACCAATTGTGTTCGTTAGTCGAGGGACCACTGTACTTAAGTGTACTTAAGGGACTAAAATTTTTATCTCTTGTGCAAAATATATGATGTCTATGTTCATGTTATTTGCTGTCTTGCAAGGATTCCAGCAACGCAATTTATATTCTGCTAACTTTAGTCTGTGCCATTTTATAAGATAAAATCTTTAAGCCTAAAACCACCTTCATTTATGCCGCAAGTCGGAGGGGGAGGTGATTCGTTATGACAGCAGCAGGGAAGGTTTGAGAAGGTTACCTAGTGTGTAATAATCAGTCATACAGAGGAAGTTTTAAGCTTATAAAATGTCAATGAATTTGACTTTATAGTACAGGTAATGCATACTGTACAAGCACCTCACCAGGCATCACACAAGGAACTTTGAATTTATGTTTATGTATAGGTAATGTATTTCATGGGGCAAAGGGAGGCTCAGGAACTTAACTCCCGTATTTTATCTATTTCTTATGGGGAAAATTGATCCGCATAATGTTGTTTCCTATAACGTCGCATTTTCAGGAATGTAACCTCGACGTTAGGCGAGGACTTGCTATGATCCCCTATGATCCCTAGTACAGTCATATATATATATATATATGCAATGTATATATATATATATATATATATATATATATATATATATATATATATATATATATATATATATATATATATATATATATATATATATATATATATATATATATATATATATATATATATATGTACATACATATTGCCATACAGTGACCCTCGCTAACTAACACTTGTTAACGAAATTTCGTTAACTAACTGCTTCATAAGGATCTTTCACCGTTAACTAACAAAAATTCGTTAATCTATCTCTTACAACTCCATTCTCAACATGTTTTCGCTTTGCACTGACCGGGCAACCAGCTTTAGTATCAGTCCGCCAATACATTAATCGGTTCTAGGGCTTAAATTCCTTACTATTTTAGTAAATATCAAGAAGTTTATACTATGCAATAATTTTAAAAGTTTAATATTCAATTTTTTAGTCATTTTAACGATTATTGAACATAATTGAAGGTAAAGTGACTAGTTTAATGCGCGGCATCCAGCCTCTTAACACAGCAAACAGGCGTTAGTCTCTCTCTGTTTTCACTGGAGGTAACATCTTGCTTGAGACTCTCTTCAACTAAACACTTTTTTCTGTGTTTCCAAGCAAATTATTGGTCATTTTGAAATATATTTTACATTTTGACAATATATAATTCAGTGCAGTGTTGATTTAAAGAAAATAATCTTGAATTACACCAAGAGAGCTAAAATTTTATGGGTGAAATGGTGCCAAGGGGTGACTTCTCTTCCACCCCAATGCCTTCTCTTCTTCCTTCTCCTCCACCCCCATTCTAAATCCCATCATCATCATCATCCAGGAGCCTTCTACAAACACACCTCAAAGTAAGTGAACTTTTCTACCATTTTTGTTGAATTTAGGAAATTTTCGGTGAGCTGGAACCAATTACCCAAAAACCCATTGAAACAATGGTTTCGGTTAACGAACTTTTCGGTTAACGAACTTTTCGGTTAACGAACGACCTTCTGGAACGGATTGAGTTCGTTAACCGAGGGGTCACTGTATATATATATATACAGTTGTACCCCACTTAACGCGGTCAATTGAACCCAGAGGGTCCCGCGTTAAGTGAAATCCGCGTTAAGTGAACAACAGAACATATGGGATTAATTCCAATAGAAACCAGCCCGACCCCCAAACTCCACTTTTTGAAGGCACATACCTATGTTGTAGTAAAAATAACATCTTAATTTTATGATGGTACATGCACACAATTAATACTTAAGAGAAATAGAGAAATACAGTCGCCAAGTTAATGTCCATTCAAATAATGGACTCAACTCCCTCCCCCTCTCACACTACACTGCCGCCTCTTCCCTCTCAGAGAAATTTTTGGGGGAAAACCACTAAATTTTAATAAATAATACCTCAAACTAAAGTTAGGATAATACAATTGACATTGCTGGATTCCTTGTAAGACCAGGAATATTTTGAATATAAATGTCATATATTTTGCACAAAAGATAACATAGTTACCTAGAGAAAAATTTTATCTAAAATTTGTATGTTTAATGCAAAATATATGATGTTTATATTCAAAATGATCACCAAATTATAAGAATTCCAGCAATGTAAATTATATTCTGACTGGGTAATTTGTATGAATTTTATGAGCTAAAACAAATATCTTCAGTTAATAAAAAAAAAAATAATCTTCACGACACTATCTGTCAATCAAAGTACCCCACCTTGCCTCCCCCCCCTCTTCCAACCGTGCGGTCAGTCCCAACCCTTCCCCCCACCCCCCACCAATCCTCCCTTCCAGGGTTTTTAACATTAAGTATTAAATAATACCTCAGATTAAAGTTAGGATAATATAATTGACATTGCTGGATTCCTTGTAAGACCATGAATATTTTGAATATAAATGTCATATATTTTGCACAAAAGATAACATAGTTAATTTGAGTAAAATTTTTATCTAAAATTTGTATGTCTAATGCAAAATATATGATGTTTATATTCAAAATGATCATCAAATTATAAGAATTCCTGCAATGTAAATTATATTCAGACCGGGTAATTTGTATGAATTTTATGAGCTAAAACAAATATCTTCAGTTAATAAAAAAAATAATAATTCTTCACGGGGTAACAGATGGTCGGTCGGTCCCTCCCTCCCCCCCCCCACCTTCCACCAACCGTCCCAAGAAGATGTGTGGGATAACCACTAAATTTTAATAAATAATACCTCAAACTAAAGTTAGGATAATATAATTGACATTGCTGGATTCCTTGTAAGACCAGGAATATTTTGAATATAAATGTCACATATTTTGCACAAAAGATAACATAGTTACTCTGAGAAAAATTTTTATCTAAAATTTGTATGTCTAATGCAAAATATATGATGTTTATATTCAAAATGATCACCAAATTATAAGAATTCCAGCAATGTAAATTATATTCTGGCCGGGTAATTTGTATGAATTTTATGAGCTAAAACAGGCAGTCAGGCAGGGTGGCGGGTGGGGCAAATCTAAAAATAGCGACACTCACCGCGTATATGTGGAAAAAAATCCGTGTTAAGTGAAAGTTCAGCTCTGGCGAGGCAATCACAGAGGCGATAAAAACGCTGCTATGAAAACTGCTATATGTGGGTAATATATATATATATATATATATATATATATATATATATATATATATATATATATATATATATATATATATATATATATATATATATATATATATATATATATATATATATATATATATATATATATATATATATATATATATATATATATATATATATATATATATATATATGTTATGGTAAATATCATAAACACACATAGGCATGGCTAGGTTTATTACAAAGTGATGAAAAGGATAATGTAAAGTGGGTAGTCCACAAAACTTGTAGCTATGTCTCTCTTTATTTGAGTGCCCTGTCAAAGAAGTCCGTTTTCTCTCACTTCAGGATGCCTGAGTCGTCCGTTTTCTCTTTATCTTAGAGTGCAGTACACCAGACACTTATTTATTCCTTAGTAATGACACAGAATTTGAAATTGCAACTGGGGTTGCAATTGTTGAGGCAACTTAGAAATGTTTGATTGCAGTTGGAATATTCAAGATCCATTGAGAGTGATGTTTAAAGCTTCAACTGTCTTTATGGTTGGTAAAACTTGTCAAGTCTGTCAGTCTGAGTGGCATGTGTGAGGCCTTGTGTTTGTACAACCGCTAAATATATAAATATATAATGTTATGGTAATTATGAGAAACACACATAGGCATGACTAGGTTTATTACAAAGTGATGAAAAATATACCATCAATACTGTTCAGTGGGTAGTCCACAAAACATGTAGCCATGTCTCTTATTATTTGAGTGCCCCATCATAGGAGTCCGTTTTCTCTCACTTCAGGACTCCTGAGTTGTCCGTTTTCTCTTAGTCTTAGAGTGCAGTACACCAGATACTTCTTTATTTTGTAGTATAATGACACAGAATTTGAAATTGCAACTGGAGTTGCAATTGTTGAGGCAACTAGATATGTCTGATTACAGCAAATGTGTTATTGTCAATTTGTGGGTGAAAATTTTATCCTCAATAGATGTAGGTTAACATTACACCTGCAGGCAAATGTTTAAAAAAAGCCTAATCAAGGAAGCATATTTCTTTAACACATAATATCTGACCAGTATGGGGAGGATCATCGTGTCTCCGTCAGGGGGTCGTGGAGTGGTGGTCCAGCGGGCGTCACGGATTTTTTTTTTTTTTTTGGGTGGGGGGGGGTCCACGGACGTATATGCGATCGGACGTTGTTCGGTCGGACGTAAACCAGCGCATGACTGTACTTATCTTATACTCATCATCTAGTCTACTTTTATTATACTATAATTGTTGTAGTTAGTCTTGTAGTAGTTTTTAACTGTACTGTATTTTCAACAGGTTGGAGGACCATTCCAAACTATGCGTCAGACATTCTGGGATGTTTATCAAGCTCGAGGAAGGCAATTTATTCGACTCTTTAGTGGTGCCCATGTAAATTATACCCGAGCCCTTGTGTCCTGGGGTATTATAAATGCCTCCTATGAAATCCTGCTTAAACTGCTGTACAGCTAACGGTAGGACAAGCCCTCTAGTAAAACATGTTCTAGTGTTACCAATCTCAAAATATGTCTGATGTAATTGAATTTTTGGTTATATTTAAATAGATTTTATTGAAGAACTGATTCTATTGAAGTGAGTGAAAGGGTGTGTATATTGACATATTTCTGGTGATTCTGTGAGTCTGTTAGCATCACAGTGTAGTTTATTTTGCCACATACTATTGTACACTAGTCATTATCAACATCATAGTGTACTGTAGTGTATTCTGCCACATACTACACTACCAGAGGATTAAAAATTTAAGATGTAATAATTTGATTGAATGATATTTGTTTTTTTATTTTGAGGCAGTTAAGACACATGCTTATCATATTGCTCACAAGTTATAGTCTTCACTTAAAATTTACAGAATTATTCTGTTTAAAGGTAATTCTATCATATAAAAGAAATCACTAATGAAATTTTGCAGTGATATACAAGTATAGTACTGTACTGAAGTTATACAGTATATGCTGAGCACAGTGCATAAAATATTTAATACTTTTTTAAATTTATGTATGAAAATTTTTTTTCTTACTATTTTAGATAAGTAATGAAAAACTATAACAAATTGTGAAACTATTTTTTTCTTTTGTCTATTGAACCGTAAATAACCAGATACGATAGTATATTCTTCAGGTTGTGTGTGACTAAAGAAAATTATTTTATCATTTGTGAATTTCTAAAAAAATTATAAATTTAATTTTTTTAATATTTGCAGTGATATTAGTGTCAGGCATAAACCAATTGGACTTATAGGAGAATACAGGTTACTCTTATAAACAAGTTGGAAGTGCTGTATTCAGTTAAATATTGCTTAGCTAACATTTGAGAGGTATGAAGCCAACAGCAGGCTTTCAGTGTGGCATTTCTCTGGAATATATTTGAGATTTAGCATGTTGTGAAGTGCACTGATTAAAGGCGCATTTTACTAGTACAGTACTGTATGTAAAAATCACAGTATTATTTGGAGGAAGTTTAATGTTGAGCTTTATGGCGTTTAAGACAACCTATAAGACGATGAGTTTTGACTTTTAAACAGGATAAAATAAAAGAAAAGAATAATACCTGATTAATCTCTCTTTTCTGGTATGTAATGAGAAATTCTCCAGTAAATGAGTTGAGAGAGTAGTCAACCCACCTCCTGAAATTAATATTTTTTTCTCTTCAAAACTAACACAGCACTGTGCTACACACACCCAGACATGGCCAGATTTTGTACTGTTATATTTCTACACCATAAAGAATATGTTCAGTAGACTCCTTCTTTTTTCTTTTTATAATATAATCAGTACATTTCAAAATTTATAACAAAATTTAAGATTCATTTTGTTTGTAGCAAAGATTTATTAGACAGCTTAGCAATATAAAATAATATGATTTGTACTCTGGTACAGGTTGACAGCCCTTTATCCGAAATTCCGAAAACAGAAAAGCTCTGAAAACCGAGTTATTTTGTGGAGCAATTTTTTTTTTTTTTTTTTTTTTTTTTTACAGGGATTAGCCCACCCAGGCATAGATCACTGACCCACATCGGGGCCTGGGGGGCGAATATGTAATAGTAATACTAATTATAATAATAATAATTATAATAATAATTATTCATAGTAAATAAAAATTTTAATTAAAAAATACACCAAATTAAAATAATAATGATAACAATAATAATAAAATATAATAATACAATTTATAATAATAATAATAATAATAACAACAATAATAGTGTATTAATAAAATAATAATAATAATAATAATAATAAAGAAATACAAAAATGAAAAAAGATAAAAAAATTGAGAAACACGACCTAGACCTATGAATTATTATTATTATTATTATTATTATTATTATTATTATTATTATTATTATTATTATTATTATTATTATTATTATTATTATTATTATTATAATTGTTGTTGTATTTTCGCCCCTCAGGCCCCAATGTGGGTCAGTGACTTGTGCCCGGGTGGGCTAATAAAAAAAAAAACAAAAAAAAAAACTAACCATTCTGAAAACCGAAAAATTCCAAAATCCGAAATGCCTCTGGCCCCAAGGATTTCGGATAAGGGATTGTCAACCTGTATACAGGGTACTGTCATAAAGTTTCTTCAAGCTCAGATGTACAGTATACTCATAAGTACTAGACCTTTGTAGGTACTGTACTTGGAAAATGATTCCATTTAAATGGAGTCATGTGAATCTTTCTTGCTTCAGATATTTGGACAGTGCTTCCACATACTTTTCAGGTGTAAATGATATGTATGGTAATTTTTATTAAGGGTATGCTCCAGACTGATGGTGTTATCGTTGTGCACAGTCAACCAAAAACATTATCGCGCCGCTTTCCGTACTTTTCATTCTGGAACAGGATGAAATTTTTGGAAAACCCAGGTATGGTAACCCAACACACACCATGAGTGACTGAGGTATTTGCTCATTCCTAGTTCCAATGGGCTCCAGGGGCTTGATAATTTTTTGTTGACTACATATGTGCTTGCAAACTTACATACATTTATAAAAATTATGTGTTCATATCTCAGAATGATAGTATCAGCGGGTATACAGTATGTTCATGTCAATGTAAGTACAGTATACAGAAATATCTCCGTTAGCCGGAATCCCTCTTAAACGGAACTCTCCGATAGCCGGAATTAAAATTTTCTCACAAAATCATTCCCAAAGCCAGAATTTTCCAGAAAATTCCGGCTTTGGGAACGATTTTCCGAGTGGCACATTTTCTGGAAATACTGAAAAAAATTTCCCGGTACAGTACTTGGAAAATTCCGGGGATGCGTGAATTTTTTTTTAGGTTTTGGAGATGAAAATCGGGCACATTTTCCGGAAATTCCGGGGACGGGGGATATTTTTCCGGATGCGAGAGATTATGTAATGTGCAATTTCTGGAACTTAAGAGAACATTTTTCCGTTAGCCGGAAAATCCTGGGGATGAAAGATTTTTTTCCTGCTTTGGGAGAGTCGTCTCGTTACCCGGATATCTCTCATTCCCGGAAGTGCTTTGCACCAATTGTTCTGGCTGACGGAGATATAACTGTATTTATTCTCTCTTAAGAGTGCTTATTTAAACATGATAAGAGGTACCATCTACCTCTTAACTGGTGCTCTTCTTGAATGTGTATTGCACACAGGAGCTCAAATGCAAATTTCACAAAAGGCATTTTGAGATTGATCTTTGCCTTTGTGATTGTGCCTTATGGAAGTGAAAGGTTGACATAGAGCCAAACTTTTACCAGAAGAGTACAAGTGTTACCAAAAAATAAAGGAATTATTGTATTAGAACGGCAGTGCATAGAAACTTTGAAATTATGAGATGTAACGGGAAGTGGAGTAAATTGTTTCAACCAGTCGAATGCAAAATTTCTTTATACATTTAATAGAGCACGGAAATAGTTATTGTGGGCCACCTAAACCACCACACTCAGAAAGCTCTTGGGAGTTTATTGGGTGAAGTCTAGGCACCATAGTCTTGGTTTAGGTATTTGTTAACTTGTCCTGTAGCAACATAGTTATTCATAGATATGTAAATAACTCAAAAAGTCTGAAATTTGGCAAGTACATTACATGCTAAAAGGGTGAAAAGTATGAACTGATCTTGATATCCTGACTTTTTTATATTGATAAAGAGATAAAGTCAGTTAGGTAATTGACAGAGAGAGAGAGAGAGAGAGAGAGAGAGAGAGAGAGAGAGAGAGAGAGAGAGATATTTCACTAAGTACATGGGAGACAGGAGTGTGCTCCCTCCCTCACCTTTTCACAATCATGGGCTAATTCCCACTGACATAAATGTTTATTTTCTTTGTTTTTGACCGTATAATAATAATTTATTTTATATTTTTAACATTCTGTATCAATGATGGTGTGTGCATTGAACAGAGTAAAAAATAAATAAAGAAAATTATGTACATCTACTCGAAAATACAAGTTGAAAAAACAAAAAAACAAAAAAACACACAGCTTGACCTGATAGGGGGAGAGCTTAAGGAATGTAGCAATAGGGACAATCTAACTTGGTGAAATGCTAAGTACGCACACACATACACACCCGTGCTCTTAATTTTTTTCTTATTTTTAGAACATGCCATCTCCAAGGAGTTGTACTGTAAAATTTATATTAAGTTATTTTATATGTAATTGACTCAAATTTAATTACATGTACAATACAGGTATTGTTTAGTTAAGGGACAGGCAACTTAATTAGGCTTTGATGAGTGTTATCCGTGGCCATGGAACCTAACCCCCTATTTCCCATAAGCCAGTGGTCTCCAACCTTTTGTAGGCTCTGGGCCACATTTATCATTGTAAATATAGTGGAGGGTGCCAAAACTTTGAATTTACATTCAAGAAAAAAAAATCTTATATACAGTATACTGTACAGTTATTTGCAGTTTTACACATCTAACTGTTACCAGTTACATACTTTTAACATTTACTCATGGACAGGACTTGTGTACAGTATTTACCCCAGTGAGAAGGCTGGCTCTCGCTCTGGGCCCGGTCTGGGGTAAATACACATGTCCTGTACACGACAGAGTTGGGACAAATGTGCAGTTCCTCTTTCTCTTTCTCAAAGTATAAAGTTGCATCAAGTTATTACATATTTTCATTAATTTCACTTTTACAAAGAATCCCAAACAATTCACAATTTTCTAATAAATCCTTGCAAGCTCTATAATATGGTTCTGCTTCAAACTACAGGTTGGGGACCACTGCCATAAGCCTTTAGTCTTGCCAACCATAGGAGTTTTTCAGGAACCTAACCCCTGTGGTTGGTGAGGGACTACTGTAGTAACATTGGGGTTTTTCTGAAAAGTCATGGAAAGTAGATCTTTGTTAATATTGTTATTATGTACTGTATGCTGAAGATGTATAGCATTTCTGGGAATTAACATTATGGACTGTGAGAAGTGATTATGAAGGAAAACAAAAACATATGAGAGTTACTTGTAAAAGAAGATGTATTGAAAAGGCACAAAATAATGAGTACAGGTAATCACATTTGAAGAGTTTATGAGCTGAACATTATTTAGGGAAAAATAGAATGGTGGCTGAAATAATGTACAAAAAGGGAAGCAAATTCCTGTAGTACATACTGTACTGTATATGATGATGGACTAAAATGAGCATACATGAGGGGAATGAACTGTTGGAGATAGTTGAGTGTGGTGTGATAGGTGAAAGTAAGACATGAAGGTGTAGTTGGAGAAGTGTCATGATTGTGAAACAGCTGAAGTGGACTTGTTGTGTGTGTGTTATGGTTAGTTAG